GAAGCCAAGTTCATCACTTTCAGCATGCTCATCTTCTGTGCAGTTTGGATCGCTTTCATACCAGCTTATGTCAGCTCTCCTGGGAAATATTCGGACGCTGTGGAGATTTTTGCCATCTTGGCTTCAAGCTTTGGTCTCCTTTTCGCTATATTTGCCCCAAAATGTTACATCATTCTTCTTCGTCCAGAGAAAAATACCAAGAAAGCCCTTATGGGGAGAGCAGCTCCAAAGAAGTGAAGACATTTTTTGTGTTTCTGAGTTGAACAGAAATATTTTCTTATCCAGGATCAGCTCTTGTGTCAATCTGTGCTCTGTAAAGTAAGGGCCTTTAGGTTTTTGTTCAGTAGAGCTATGATACCTTGATCTAATATTATAGTATGCTTACCAAATTATTTCTTTTTTTATAACATTAGCTCATATTAACATGAGCTGAAGAATTTGCTGTTGTGCAGCCTTTCCTGAAATGGTGGCCTGTTCTGACATTGCTGAAATTGAGAGAATGCAACATCTTAGCCCTCAGGTATGGACTTAATGAGAGGGAAGATTTTATTTTCTAATTGCTTTTAAAAAAGTGTCCCAGATATTCAAAGCTAAATGTTTTGCATCAGTATAAAAGTCCTTTGTAATGTACCGCTTTGTAACAAGCAGATGTATGCATATACTGTCTATAGATAAACTGCATATAAATAAAGTTCTTAAAGGGCTCATTTTCTAAAACTTGTTTTGAATGATTTTTATGTTTCTTTTGTTCATTGCATTTATGTTGGGCTCTTAATGTATGGTGACTAAGCATTAAAGCACTGTGGAGTAATTAAACATTCCTGAGGTGAACATGTTTCTATGTAGACTGCATTCCTGAAAACAGAAAACAGAATCAGTGTGTTTCATCTCAGTGAGAATTCCAGACCACTACATAAGCATTCAATATCCTGAATAATACTTGAAGATCTTGAAGTAGATTTAGATTTAGCATTTAATATATTTGATTTGAGACTCTTATTTACAGTGAAGTGCTGGAGTCTGGATGCAAATCCACAATCATGTGATTGAAACTGAAACAGTCACAGGATCTTTTAAAAAAGGCATAGAAGTTTGCAGAACATTAAACACCAAACAGACAAGATAGACAAAATGGCCCCTCTCATTAATTACCTTTTGTACTTTCAAAGAGCATGTAACAGGCAGGAAACAGACCTCTTTGAAACGAACAAGACCTAGCCTTATAGCACATTTCTGAAATAGTCTTTTCAGCGGGTGTTAGCCTTCTACTCTAATTTAAAATGCTTTGGAAGATTTAATGTCTGCAGTGTGAACAGGCAGGCACTACTTACTTCCAAAAGCACATTGCCAATGTTCTTGCAATTCTTTAGGATTCTCTTGCACCTGATGTCCTGTATTTTGTTTAAAATATCAAGTCCAGAATAAAGTCACCTAATGACCCATCCCTAGCATTTTAATCACAGCCCGATTGTTTTCATAGGTGTTGCAGCCTTGCATAATGTCTTAAACATGATGAGATGGAGGAGTCAAAACATTACAGACACAGGCTTGAGTCTTAAGGCAAAGGGGACACATGGTCACTGTGTTCAACAGGTTCAACAGAATTTGTTAAAACAATGCAGACAGAGCTCAGTATTGTAATGCCATAGAAAATTTCAAAGTCAGCTGCTGTTGCGTTAATGCAAGAGTTTAATTTCATTTTGATTGTGACTAAGGTTTTCTGTGGTGATCATGCACAGCAGTTAGAGTGTAATAAAAGTTGCTGTAATGAGTGAGTGAGGTGCTCTGGTGTCTCAAGGTCAGCGGGATGCAGTGTCCATAGATTTCACTGAGAAAGAGGTATTACTCACAGCAAAGTGATCAATTATTTAACCTTTTGTTTTCTTATAGTTCCATCTTGCAAAAGTACTGCACAGGTTTGTGACTTAGAGACAGACCTTCCCCTTTGCACTCTTATTTGCACAGGACAGATGAAAGAAGTTGTTCATATGAAGAGCACCACTGGTATAAAGTATATCAGCAAAGGCACTGCTGAACATTTTGACAAATTTAGATCTAACATCCTGAAGTGTCATGACAATCAGTTCTTGACTTTTCTGTAGGCTCCCAGGAATTCACAGCAGATATTGGGGAATCAGATCATATTAGTGTGAGGAAAGTGTGAGAATAGTGTGAGAAAATTAGTACATATCATATACTGTAACTACAATTATAGTGGTATATAGGAAATTCTATTAAACAGATTTTAATTATGAAAATATATTATGCAGGAATATGTTTAGATTTCTTTGATATACTTTAATCAGGAGTTAAAATACAGCATATGTATATGATTGACAGCAGTGATTTGCTCAAAGCCTCCACTAGTACTGCTGTTATTGCAACTTTGTTTGTCGTTAATACATCTTAAATTTGGTGAGAAGAAACCAGTCTTTTTTATTTTTCAATCTTTAATTTACATTAAAAAGAATCTTCACAACAACTTAAGGGCACCTATATATGAGCAGTCAATAGAATTATTATAGTAGCTAATACAATATATTTATATATTTATATAAATTATCCCTAACTTGTTGACAGGTGATCCTCAGCAATAATGTAATGTTCTCCTCTACATGTCACATCGTGAAACTAAAAGGCTTTATTCACTGCTTCAAAAGAGAGATCTATAAGGTTTAAGAAATATCTGAAAACAAAATGACTAAAATGCCAGTGAAAATCACACACAATTGTGTTTCTGTTTAAAGAATGGATCAGTGATTGAAATGAGTTTCATGATTCTTCTTTTTAAATGCTCATTCATGATCCACCTAATGTTACTAAATATATATGCAACTTCCATGTCATTACATAGACAGCATGCTGCTATTTACAAAAATACCATTCCTGTGACAACTATTGGTGGTATAGTGACAATACAATGCATACAGAGAACAAAATAGTTGTGATATGGAGTTATAAGCATTTTAAAACCAATTGAACTGTAAGTAATACAATTGTTTTTGCTTAAAGTCTGAATTTCCAAGATCTTAATTTAACCATATAGTGTATCCTTCAAGATTGTACCTGTCTTTCTATGACCACTTCAAAGTGCTTTCACTTCTGAAATGGATGCTATTTATAATAAAAAGAATAATGAAGAACGAAACTGTATCACTTAAAAGTACTGTATTATACACATAGTGATCTAGTGATGTATTTGATGTGCATTGCAATAACAGCTGCAAAAGAAAAAGACATTGCTCAGCATTTATCATTTAAAAAATTGTAACTTAAATTGTAATAACTGCAACATTTGCTGAAAGAAACAAACATGCAAAATGAAAATTATTTTTATAAATGAAAAGCCTACATAATATAAAGATAAAGATTGAGATAGAAAAACAATGTCACATTTGAAATGCTTTTGCTGTTTTGCAGTTTGCAGTAACAAGTAACATCTCGTTAGTATAATTGTTTTGAGTGTAACAGTTAGCTCAGAGACCTGTGCTCTTTAATCGCTGCGTGTCATTGACTAGAGAGGTGAGGCAGCCCGGGAGCTCATGGAGAGGAGAGAAACTGAACGGAGAGGCTGTGATGAAGCAGCGATGAGCTGTGGTGCTCTGACTCCAGGAGAGCACACTCCTCAGGGGCTTCAGTCCTCCACGCCCAGCTGTGAGCTACAGGAGCAGCAGGAGAGGAGCCAGGAGTGAGACCTC